TTTGAAATTAAATTACAATTAGCCACCTGACTGATATAAACTCTGCATGGAAACCATTCATTTCGGCAATATGTGTTAAATCAAAAGAAAAATAAACATTTTGAAAATGATTTTGTTTCTTCTGCAGCAACTTCCATAAAAAATTGATGAAACATAGAAAATAGCAATGATACGTCAACCCAACCCAATTCACACATTCAATTTCTTTCCCCAGAACAAACAACAATAGTGCAACAGGAATGTGTATGTCTACATTTTCACTGACACAATGCTAAGATGATACTGCTAATCAGTAGTGAACACAGTACACTTTCAACAATAAATATGGACATGGTAAACTGGGAATTAACAATGATTTCCCCAAATAGCAATAGCATTAGCACTACCACTTCACAGTACTTTGCAGCTCTCTCTAAGCAGTTTACAGAGTCAGCCTATTGCCCCCACAATCGGGTCCTCATTTTACCCACCTCGGAAGGAGGGAAGGCTGAGTCAACCTTGAGCCTGGTGAGACTCGAACTGCCAAATTGCAGTTAGCCAGCAGTCAGCAGAAGTAGCCTGTAGTACTACACTCTAACCACTGCATATCAGCAAATATCTGTAAATCGGTTTATTAAATTGAAATGTTTCTCTTCTGGCTATCTGTGTTTGTATTAATCATTTGATGATTAGACCACATATTATTTGGGAATAACTTAAATAAGGTAGATCTTGAATATACTGTATAGTATAATAAATTACCCTCTTAATTTCTGATTGCTTATCACCATTTGTCTCTCTCCTTTCCAACAACACCCCTTCCCCTAATATTTTAAATATTAGAGTATATAGCAAATTCCACTATTTAATAATGTAGGGCTGTTTACCCCCAAAAGAAGTTTATTTTTTAACAGGAACAAAAGAATGCATTTCCTATTAATTCAAATTTTAAAATAAGGCTATTAGATGACAACGCTAGGATTTTAATTCAAATAGAATAGAATAGAATAGAATAGAATAGAATAGAATAGAATAGAATAGATGATTTTATATGATTAACCTGTTTATTTCATTCTAGACTCTTTGTTGAAGAGGCATTTTTAACGCTGTACCTCTTCAACACAAGCTGCAGAACTAGCATTTTTTAAAAAGAGGGTTTTTGTTTTTTTTTAAAAAAAGATAAGTATTTAACCATCTGCTGAGATGATGGGTCAAACAGACAGATTTTTCAAAAGATACCAAATATTCTTGAATTTAAAAAGCATTTTAGAAGGGTGGCCGTTTTCATTCTCTATCTCTGAAAGTAGAACTCACAATTCAGCAGCCATATCTAACACACTGAAAAGGCTACAGAATAGTCTACCCTATGTCAGCGTTCCAGCAAACCTCCATTCCAATTAGTAACTCCGAGACAAGCATAATCTCAAAAGTACCTTTATTAGAATAGCACCTGGTACATCTGTGGAATCTCGAAACTAAAAGTTTCCCCGGACTTCGCACAATGTCCCAAACTACAATCCACCCCCTTTTCTCCCATCATCACATCACAAGGACCAATCACGATCTGTCCCAGTGTAAGATCCTTTTTCTCCGCTGCGCCACACTTAATAACCTTAAACTAAGAAAATAATTTTGCTTTCTTTACTTAGAACTACTCAATTGAAATCACCCCCCCCTCCAAACTTCTCAGGCTATGTGGCAGCGTGGAATATGGCTTCCAAAGCTGACACCCTGGCAGTTTAATGTAGCCATCGCTTATATCAATGATAATATCTATCTCTAACTAGCTAAGTTCAGACTAATCTTTTAATTATAGTTGTAGTTAAGCACACAGGAGATTTGATTTAGATCATGGGTGTCAAACTCAATTTAAGTGAGGGCCACATCAGGGTTATATTTGACGTGTGTGTGTGTGCATGGGCAGCTTGATGTCACTCATCAAGGCTCCATTTTTGTCCGTGACAGCCCGGGTTCCATTTTCGCTGGCAGAGGGTGGCAGGAGGTGGTCGTGGCTGAAAATGAAGCCCAGGCAGCTCACATGCAGCCACTCCAAGAACCATTTTCATTGGCAGAGGGCTACAGGAGGCTGTTGCGGCTGAAAATGGAGCCCGGATGGGCCACACGTGGCTCTCTTGAGCTCCATTTTCACTGGCAGAGGCACCGTGGGCTGGTCCTTTGCTGTTTCCAGGGCGGGCCTGTGGGCCAGATCTAAGCACCCAGTGGGTCAGATCCGGCCCTTGGGCCTTGAGTTTGACACCCCGATTTAGATTATTTCCTAAACATTCAGACAATACCATGGTCATTTTCACTCTTTGATGTATTGACGTACAAATTCATTAATTGGTCAAATGAGCAAATGAAAAGCTAGATGTGATATCAACCAAAGATTCCATTGGCATTTTATTAACTCTTGAGGTTGAAAAAGATGAATTACATCCATCCGCAATTATTCATCGCATTATTCTTTTTAGGATAAGCAATGTAAACTGAAGAAATTAAAGGCCTGAGATAAGAACATATAAAAGACAAACATAAAATTTGGGTACAATCACTGGCACCTTTCACTATGTCTCCCCATATTTTTCTGTCCATGCTAACAATATATCTGTATCTTAACATTGTTTTCATCCATTATATTCTTTCTCTTTAAATTCCTAACATCTGCCTTTCTAAGGACCTCATCAAATCCATCGAAATTAACATTTTACAACCTGTCTTGCCATAGTTGTTAAGTGAATCACTGCAGCTGATTAGTTAGCAAACCGGTTGTTAAGTGAATCTGGCTCCCCCATGGACTCTGCTCATCGGAAGGTCGCAACAGGGGATCACGTGACCCAGTGATGAGATTCAAATTTTTTACTACCAGTTCTGTGGGTGTGACTATGTGGACTAGGTGGCTAGGTGGTCATGTGACTGGGGGAGTCAAAAGTCTTTTTTTTTTCTTTTTTTCTTTTGCAGCACCCCCCGTGCCCCGTTTTTGGCCTACTGGGCTTCAGGGAAGCTTCCTGGGCTCTGAAAAAAGAAGCATTTTGAAGCCTTCCAAGGCTAATCTAAATCTAAATCTAAATCGCGCAGCACAGCTGATCCAACAGCGAGGGATGGGATCAGCTGTGCCGCGCGATTTAGATTAGCTAGAAAGCAAGAAATCCAACAATTTCCTTCTTTCCAGCTAATCTAAATTGTGTGGCACAGCTGATAATCGCCCAGCTGATAGTCGGAAACACCGGTTCAGTTGAACCGCTAGCATTTTTTTTACTACCAGTTTGCCCAAATCGGTAGCATTTTTTTATTACCGGTTTGCGTGAACCGGGGCGAACCGGCAACATTTCATCTCTGACGTGACCTTGGGATACAGCAACGGATGTAAATATGAACCTGTCGCCAAGCATCTGGATTTTAATCAAGTGATGCTGCAAAGATCATAATTGTGAAAAATGGTCACCAATTACTTTTCTCAGTGCTGTTGTAACTTTGAATGGTTTCAGCCCTTTTCCTAACTTAACTTCAGTGATCCACTTAACAGCTGAGGCAAGAAAAGTGGTTAAAATGGGGCAAAACTCACTTAACAACCATCTCGCTTAGCAAAGGAAATGTTGGGCTCGATTGTGGTTGTAAGTCGAGGACTACCTGCATTGTAACGGTTCTCCAGGTATACCTGCTACATCTGCAGCCTTGTTATTTTTCAGGATTGTCAGAGCACATACAAACCCTCCTTTCATCACATTTTTCTTTAATCCTAATATTTATAACATTAGTCTCAGTTCTACTATCCCAATTCTTACCATGAAAATCTCCAAAACACTCCTTCCAGCATTCCCTCAATCCAGTTTCATCCTAAATTCCATCACTGTTATTTTTTACTTCCATTCTCTTTGCCGGAGGCTCCTTTTTTTCCTACTTCCTAACTAAAATTAATCACACCGAGACTAATTATACAATATCTTATATCAACCCGATGGAAATAGGCAATGTTATACTGTACAATCTGAAAACGTCTGATTAGCTTGGTTTTTCAGGTAATTTCTAGCCTGCAAGATTGCCGGATCTATGGTAATATATAAGAAATGAATGCCTATTGTTTTACTCTCACATGTTACTAATAATCCAAGTTGTAATCAGAGGTGGGATTCAGCAGGTTCTGACCAGTTCTGGAGAACTGGTAGCAGAAATTTTGAGTAGTTCGGAGAACCTGCAAATGCCACCTCTGACTGGCCCCGCCCCCATCTATTTTCTGCCTCTGGAGTCCCAGCTGATCGGCTGGGTCTTCTTTCATTGCCCTGCACAGGAGAACGGAGCTGGAAAGCAGGTTAATGGGGTGGGGAGGGAATGGGGATTTTGCAGTATCCTTCCCCCAGGAGTGAGGAGGGAATGGGGGAATCCCCCCCTCAGCAGTGGTGGGATTTGAAATTTTTTACTACCAGTTCTGTGGGGATGGCTTGGTGAGCGTGGCTTGGTGGGTGTGGCAGGGGAAGGATACTGTAAAATCCCCATTCCCTCTCCACCCCACTAACCTGCTTTCCAGCTCCGTTCTCCTGTGCAGGGCAACCAAAGAAGACCCAGCCAATCAGCTGAGACTTGGGTGGCAGAGAATAGATGGGGGCAAAGCCAGTCAGAGGTGGTATTTGCTGGTTCTCCGAACTACTCAAAATTTCTGCTACCAGTTCTCCAGAACTGGTCAGAACCTGCTGAATACCACCTCTGATCCTTGGAGATACTGGTTCAGCTGAACCGGGCCAAACTGGTAGAATACCGCCACTGAATAGGACCTCCTCTACAACAGACAAAGACACCTCCTGGTTTATCATAAACACACAGTGCTATTTTAATAGAACCCAAGCTATTTCCTGCCTGTTTCTGAAGTGGCACGTATGATTTTGACCTGTATGCATGTGTGCTCCCATGCGGATGTGTTCAGATATATTGTCTGATTTTACATTCTCATATTGACCATTCGTAATGCCAAGGTCTGAAAGGTAGATGTTCATCGTACATTGTTTATACAACTTTTCAGATTTACTCACAGATATTTTGCCATTACGGTTGGCTTCCTCCCTCTCTGCCAAGGCCTTCAGAAAATTATCTTTCAGCTCTTTTCCAGCACTTGACAAAATTCTAGAAATGAAAAAGAAAGAAAGAAAGAAACAGAGCACAGTGTTTATCTTGCTTTCTTCTTGATCCAAATCACCCCCTAAAGGAAAGCAAAATTTGATGAACGTTTCTCGACAGAAGGCGTATCAATGCCAGGATTCCAAACCAAGTTAACAAATTTGGTTGTCATGTTGCATTTAAGCCATAAGTTTGTTTCTGGCCTATGCCTCTAGCCATCATGGTTTCTATGTGAACTCAGCCAACTGTGGCTTAGCCAAACAGATGACTAAAACAAAGAAGTGCTTACTGTAATATGTGGATCCATCGATTAAAAGGGTTTTTCTGGATATGCTTGATTAATAAATGCAATCCCTATTTCTTCTGAATAAGATTTTTCTAAGCTGTATTTAGAATACAACTGATCAGGTCACCCAAGTTATTGATTCATCTGTGTTCTGACCAAGGCTTCCTGAGACAGTAACAATCATACGCTTTCCCCAAAACCCTTTTTTTTTTTTAATTATTTCAACGGCTGTGAATTATATGCATTCACAGCCCAAGTCCCAAACAGTTTATAAATAGTCCAACAGAAGTCTGCCACAGTCCTTCAGGATGAGGCTGATAAGAACCTTTATCTCCCTTGAAATGCTGCCAATGACTAAATTGCCAAACGGAGCACAAAGTCAACACGGAGCTTCAGAATTTCAATCGACCAGAATGAACAAAGTTGCTTCCTGCAAAGGCTCATGTCCCTTTGCTCCTCCTTTTTGTCTTATGGGAAGGCCAATCATCTCCAAGCCTTACTCTCGAGTCTCCCCTTTTGTCTTAACTGTTCTTGCCTTCTGGCAGCTCTGTGCACACGTGCACTGGGAACAGGCTCCCCCTGTTCCTTTGCCTCACTGCTATCGGAGGCTCTGGAGTCAGCACATAACTCTCAGATGGCCCTGGCCCTATCTCTGTGTCGGATGCAGGACCCTCATCCGAGCCCTCCCCAGACTCCAGGACTGGCCCATGTTCCTCCCCACTGTCCGACTCTGCTGCCAGTTCCACAGCTATGAAGCAATGACCTTTCTGTAGCTACAAGAGACGCAGAATATCATTTTTTCAAACACACTCCTTGTGTATGGATTGTATCAAGAAAAGCTACACTTTAGAATGACTAATTGGATTAGGAAGTTACTTTTTAAAAGAAAGTTACTCTTTACTGTTTGACTTTTTTGGCCCAGGTTCAATGGAGAAAAGAGCTGTAAAACTTTTGATTGTGACTTACATAATCTAATGTGCAGGAAATACTTTCGACGGGGCCTTAATCCTACATACTTCGTTCTTTAATAAAATGAACAGTAATTGTAAAAACTACACTTTGAAAACTTCATACGGTAAAACTCTTAAGAAGTCAGGGCTGGTATTTCTTTTTCCTTTTTTTTTTGCGGGGGTTGTGGGTTTTTTTTTTGTCAAAATACTTTAGCTGCTTATGTACTTTGTTTGAATGGTTTCCATGGTGATCCCAGATTTGGCTGACAAGGAGAAATCGACACCTGGCATAATATTGACAACAGCCTTACAAACAGTTAACAGCAAGCTAACAGCAATGCGGTCCTGTCATTTCTCCAATATTCACAAAAAAAAATTAAATGGTTACTTTATCAGCTCTAGGCTAACTTCTTTTTTTTTTTTTAAGTGCTACAATTACATTGTTTGCTTTCAAGGGAGGAGGGTTATTTTGTAATTCTTCTTCCATGCAAATAAAGAGAGGTAAAAAGGAGAAAAGTTCTTTAAAGCAAATATCATTAGTTTCTCTCTCTCTCTCTCTCTCTCTTGTTCTCTCTATTCTCTCTTTCTCCCCATTCTTTCTCATTCTCTCTCTTTCTCTCATTCCCTCTCTCTATTCTCTCTCCCATTCTCTCTCTCTCATTCCCTCTCTTTTTCTATTTTCTCTCTCTCCATTCTCTCTCTCATTCTCTCTCACATTTTCTCCCTCTCATTCTCTCTCATTCTCTTTCTTATTCTCTCTCTCATTCACTCTCTCTCATTCTCTCTTTTTCTCTCTCTTATTCTCTCTCATTCTCTCCATTCTCTTTCTCTCTCTCATTCTCTCTCTCTCATTCTCTCTTTTTCTCTCTATTCTTTATTTCCATTCTCTCTCTCATTCTCTCTCACACACATTCTCTCCCTCTCATTCTCTCTCTTATTCTCTTTCTCTATTCTCTCACACACATTCTCTCTCTCTCTCTCTCACACACACACACACACACACACACAGAGAGAGAGAGAGAGAGAGAGGCACCCAGCTATTGTATCATTAAATTATTAATATTACTATCATAGAATCGTAGGGTTGGAAAAAACCTTGGAGGTCTTCTAGTCCACCCCTGATCAAGGCAGGAGACCTTATATCATCCTGGTCAAATGGTTGCCCCATCTCTTCTTGAAAACTCCAGTGAATGGAGCCACCACAACTTCCAAAGGCAAGCCTGGTTAATTGTTCTCACTGTCAGGAAATTTCTCCTTAATTCTAGGTTGGACATCTCTTGGATAAACTTCCATCCATTCCTTCTTCTCCTGTCCTCAGGTGAGAATATGTTGACCCGCTCTTCTCTGTGGCAGCCCCTCAAGTACTGGAAGACAGCTATCATGTCAGTTCCTAAACCTTCTCTTCGTTAGGCCAGAGATACCTCGTTCTCTTAGCCACTTATTACATGCAGCTTATTTCACAGTAGGAATTAAACTCATAAAATAGTACGTGTGGTCCCAATGGGTGGAAAAAACAGTTATTCAAATATAGAAAGGAAAATTAGTTTCTCATATAATTGTATATTTGATGATGGGTGAATGGCCTTTTAGTTGTGTAGTATGTTTCATGAAAAAAGTACAATAAGCACTTATTTCCAAAACCACTTACACGTAATTCAAGAAGCTGTTGCATTTGTTGTTTGCTTGTTTTGTGGCCTTTTCATGCATTGAAGTAAGTTGCCCAGAATAGCTAGCAACTGAGCAGCCTTAGAAATGGACCAAATAAGGTAAATAAAAAAGCATAAGCAATCCCCAAAATCAATACTGATAACCCTCAACTTACAACTGATCGTTTAGTGACGGTTTGAAGTTACAATGACACTGGGTGAAAAAGTGACCTATGACCATTTTTCACATTTACAATCATTGTAGCATCCCCACAGTCAAATGATCAAAATTGAGATAGAATAGAGAATAGAATAGAATACTTTATTGGCCAAGTGTGGTTGAACACACAAGGACTTTGTCTTGGTGCAAATGCTCTCAGTGTACATAAAAGAAAAGATACATTCGTCAAGAGTCAAGAATCATCAGGTACAACACTTAATGATAGTCATAGGGTACAATCAGCAATCAAATCATACTAGGAAACAGTCAATATAAATCGTAAGGATGCTTGGCAACTGGCTCATGTCTCTGACGGCTGCAGTGTCCAAGGGTCACGTGATTCCCTTTTGCAACCTTCTGACAGGCAGAGTCAATGGGAAAGCCAGATTCACTTAACAACCGTGTTACTAATTTAACAACTGCAGTGATTCACTTAACAAATGGGACAAGAAAGGTTGTAAAATGGGGGAAACCCACTTAACAAATATCTCACTTCGCAACAGAAATGTTAGCAACAGCAATAGCTGTTCATAGTGCTTTCCAGCCCTCTCTAAGCGGTTTATGCTGTCAGCCGATTGCCCCCAACAATTTTGGGCCCTCATTTTACCCACCTCGGAAGGTTGGAAGGCTGAGTCAACCTTGAGCCTGGTGAGATTCGAACTGCTAAATTGCAGGCAGCTGGTAGTCAGCAAAAGTAGCCTGCAGTACAGCACTCTAACCACTGCGCTACCGAGGCTCAATTATGGATCGTAAATTGATGACTACCTGTGTGTAAGCCTACAAGCAATACTACTATAACTAAGACATCCCCAGATGCAAATTTGCCCCCAAAATAACCGATGACTGGATATAAGCAACAAGGGGAAACTGTTTTTCATGTTCATTTCCCCTCTGACATTGGAGCTGCCAAACCACAAAATTTTGACTTACCCTTACTGGAAACAGAATGTTGGGTTAGCAATTTGGCATGATTCAGAAAAATAATTGTGACAGAAAGCAGAATACCACCATCGTTGTATATAATACAGATACCATACTTGGAAGTAATTCTCATTACAGGATAATTACACGGTGTCAATGACAAGATACGCTACGATGTGCATTTTGGAGAAAGGATGTTTTTAAATTAAATTATTAAATTTAAATTAAAGAAAAAACAAAATAAAACAAAAGAGGAAGTGACATGAAAATTCTGATCATTAATCGTTTCCCAGAACCGAGTTGAATTTCTTTGTGACATTTTGATAGGTAGGTTAAAATGTGACATTTTGAAGACATTTTTTCTTAAGACACCAAAATGGACATTCAGCCATACCCCAAGTGGGTCACCTTCAGATTTTTTTTTCTGGCCACTGTTAAAGCTCTCTCAGCTTTGAAGAAGCTTTTTAAAAAATAATAATAATAAATTGGGTTGTGGTTTGGGGAGTCTTAGTGCTATAAATATATACTTTCTCAGCAGTCTGGGAGAAATAACTAAGCAAAATCTAAAAAATATAGAGATCAAAAGTATATGAACCTTGGATCACACCGTACAAGAGGCCCTTTTAAAAATAAACATCTTTAGATCAAGTCATAATATTAGTCTACTTTTGGGCGGGGACGGAAATATCTGTTATATTATCACACACTTTTGCTGCACAAGATACAATACGCCTTTACGATTAAAAGACTGAAAGCATCATATACTGATGAGCAGTAGATGAAAGGCTTGGTAAAAACTAATAATAACCCTAAGCAATTTTCAAATTTTTATTCGAATGGAAGCCTCTCTAACAACCTAGGCAAACAAACAGCAAACCTTCCTTTCCAAAATGCACAAAGATTACTTCTAAGAGATTTGAAGGAAAGCAAAACCTAATTTTTGCATCTTGGCATTTTCTCTTTAGCACAAGATGTTCCTTGGA